TATATAACACAAATTAAAATAAATATTATAATCAAATTCATATTTATGAATATAATTCATTATGATAAATTATTGAAAAATCACGCAATATAATCCATTAAATGTACTTGATTTAGTTATTGTTAATTCCGTAATTTTTTTTGTTTAAATAAAAAATACACCAATTTTGAATTCAAATGGAATTAAAAGAGTGATACTCGGTCAATAAAAACCTAAAACAATTTTGAAATCAAATTCTAATTTTCAACCTTATCATGTATGATGATAAGATAAGTGCAAAGTAGTTAAGAAGTGGAGATTTTTGTGTGATAGCATCGTTACATAATTAAAATATTTTCATTAAATTTCTGTCCATACCAATGTGATACAAAAAAAAATTGTTGAAAAATTTTTTTACGTCAAAATTTTACGTCAAACAAATTTTTTCATCTTTTTATGTAAAAATTTTAATAATAATAATTTATATATAACACAAATTAATATAAATATTATAATCAAAATTCATATTCATATTTATGAAAAAAATTCATTATGATGAATTATTGAAAAATCCCGCAATATAATCTATTCAATGTACTTAATTCAGTTATTGTTAATTTCGTAAATTTTTTTTTTATATAATCTTATATTTGAAATATTTGTTAAAATTTGTATTAATTTATATCTTGTATCATGGCATTCTGCCAATTTTAAACTAATATACAGTAGAATTCAAAAATAAAATGTTCAAATATTCACATTCATGCGACATTTAATAAAAAAAAAAAATATCCAACGACATTTTATAACGATAACAAATATAATAACACTAAAATTTATTATAGAATTCGGAATTCAACGACGTGGAATGAAATTAAAATTCATAATAATCAAACTCTAAATATCATAAATATCTCCTGCTCCTTGCTAATGTTGAGGGAAAATATCAAATTTTGAGGGAAAATCCCACCATATTTGATAACATGTGTTTTTCCATGAAGCACAAGTTTCCATATGTTGGTTATGATATCCTTCTTCCCATTATTAAATTCAACGACATAGTTGCTGATCGCATACATCTCGCCTTCGTTCGGTACACCTCGAAATGCTTCCATATGTTTGGAACGTATTATCCCTTTAATGAATGTACTCTACAGTATAAATTTATAAATATGAATTAAAATATTTTTTAAAATTATATAAATTTGATATTACAAATATAAATATTTACCTGTTCATCATGAAACAGTATATGGAATGCGTTCCAGCTCTCCCGTTGGTGATGCGTTTCAACTATTATGACTGCTTTCAAGTGCAAAAAAGGCTTGTTTCTCCTACTCACGGAATCGAGTGTATCCCAGGCTGGATGCATTTATTATCAATGTGTTCTGAAATTTGTCTTTTTTTTTTCTCTGTAAAATTTATCTCGGTTTTTTTTTTTTCTGTGAACTGTGAATTTTTTTTCTAAACTGTGAATGACGTGAATTGTTGAGTAGTGGTAGTGCATATGATTTTATACCAAAAACCGTTTTTGAACTAAAGATTCACATAATTATGTAATAATAATTATGGATCCAATTGTGACTTATCCACATATCCCTATAATATCTCTAATCAATTAATTTTTGAATTAATCATGTAATGATAAATATGGATCTAATTGTGACTTATCCACAATCCCAATAATATCTCTAATAATAATCATGGATCTAATTGTGACTTATCCACATATCCCTATAATATCTCTAATCAATTAGTTTTTGAATTAATCACGTAATGATAATTATGGATCCAATTGTGACTTATCCACAATCCCAATAATATCTCTAATAAACAAAATTTTGAATTGAAGTATGACTTTTTTAAAATTTCGTGTATTATAAATGCAGTAAATATGGTTTCTATATTTAGATTGTCAAAGTTTTTTTTGTTTTGTCAAAAGTTTCTAAAAATGTATTTTAACAACAACAACCTTTTTATGAATATATATAGATATAGATATAACTGATTTATGTAGATTTATATGCATATTTCATTTAATTGATTTAATAATTAGTTAAATTTATTTATTTTTATATTTATTTTTTAAACAAATAGAAATTCAACTACACAACAATATTTAAAAATATATATATTTTTAAAAGAAGACAATTATTCAATTACACATTAATTACGCAATTGTGAGTAATTAATAATTAGAAAAAAAATTATTTGTATATTTCAATGCACATTGAATAAAAAAATGAATATAGCTGATAAACCAAACACTTTTGCAATCAAATTGAGAACTTGTTTTTTAGTACAAATCAAATGTTTTGAATGAAAATTGGCAAGCATGGATAAGCAGTAAGTTAAAAAACGCATGAAGAGATTTTATATTGCTTAAAATATGGAGTGTTTCGGTTGAAAAATATGGATTAAGATGCAAATTTAAATTTTCAAAACTCATTGGTTAAAACACGTGAACATATTTTTGCTTGCGTACAAATCGGAATGATTAGAGGAATATTTTGGCTAAACAGATTGTACATAGCGTAAAATATGGATGATAA